TGTGTATTTATTATAAATAATATAATATAATAAATAATATTAAATAATGAATAATATAATAAATTATATAATAATAAATAATATAATAAATAATAAATATTATAAATCAACTTCGATGCTTAGTTAGTTATAAAGTGGCTATAAGGCTGTTACTTGTAAATCAAATCGTTGCAGCTATCTAATTTGCTCAGCTAACCTAGTGATTCTATTATGCAAATGATCATTTTACTGCTTGAAGCATCCTTTAAAACCAATCAAACGTCCACCGAATTTGGGAAAATATTTATTTTTTGTGGGGGGGGGGTTGACCTGAAATCAAGGCTTGGGCAAGGCCGAAATGGGGGGGGGGCGACCTGAAATTAAAAATCACCTCAATTACTTCGAATAAAATATTGTTTCATCGAGTCATCGTTTGAAAAAATTTCAGATCCCTATCAAATTCTAGGACCGACGAGTAGCCGTCTAGCGAGTGCAGGTGAGAATTTTTTAATTTCAGGTTTCAGTTGGAATTTTTCCTACAGCTCCCCCCAATCGATCCTATTTCAGGTCTATAGGCCACCGATTTCAGGTCATATTGAAAATCTATCGACTGCAACTAGGCTACAGCCTGAAATATAGCACAGCCGAAACTAAACCTACTTGCAACCAGCTGCAACCTAATTGCAATCTAGAAACCAGATGGTAGCTCAAAAATATGCCCTGAAATCGGGATTTTTACAAAACGTCCTGCAAACATTGATGCCAGGCAATGACCTGAAATTCGTATTGGTACCACGGGATGTGATTTCAGGTAGTGGACAAATACAGCTGTGGCAATTCCTACTGGAGTTACTCTCGGACAGTCGCTATGCGGAATCGATCACGTGGGAGGGCACGAACGGGGAGTTTAAGCTGGTTGATCCGGATGATGTGGCGAGGCGATGGGGCGAGAGGAAGAGTAAACCGAATATGAATTATGATAAGATGAGTCGGGCGTTGAGGTACTATTATGATAAGAATATCATGTGCAAGGTACACGGCAAACGATACGCGTACAAATTCGATTTCCAAGGTTGGTTCGCGGGAAATATTTTGGGTAGGGTAGTGGGGGGGGGGACTGGAGGGGGGATTGGGTTGATTTTAGGTTAATTTTTTGGGGCAGAGGGGGAGAGTTGATTGAAATTAGGTTGATTTTGAGGGTGTGTAGGGGTTG